GACCAGTGTTGACTTGATAGGGTTAGTCAACCTTAGTTGGGAAAGTGTTAATTAGAGATGTATTGTGTTATAGGAGGACTTTAGCTTGGGAGATCGAGCACTAGTGATTTCAGGGATTCGCGAGTTATTGAGATACGCGAGGTGAGTCTTCTCACTATACTTTACCTTGAGTAGGTAATCAGAGTCATGTGACAGAGTATTTGTATGCTATATGTATGTTATGTGTTGTACTGCATTATTTCTATGTGATTTATGCTGTGCATGCTTATAGAGTTGGAACCGGAAGGTTCCCAGAGTTAGAACCAGTGGGTTCACAGAGTAGGGTCTACGGACCCACAGAGTTATAGCCTCGAGTGGCTAATATGTGTTATGTGTGGTATTTTGGGGAACTCACTAAGCTTTGTGCTTACAGTGTTAGTTTTGTTTGTTTCAGGTACTAGTGATGACCGTGGGAAGGCGCCGGCTTGATCTGTACACATGCATGGGATTTTTCTGATATGTGATCTTGGGATTTTTGTATGATATGGATTGGAGTCTTAAAACATTGATGTTTTTATGAAAATTAAATGAAAATGTTCTTATTTTATGCAAAAAATTATTTTGAAATTCACAGTGTTACAAACAGTGCGTGTATGATTTGGATATCATCATTTTGAGGTGAGTCTCTTTACTATACTTGTGGGTCGAAAGCACCAATGTCGACCTACTTGATTATGTTGTAGGATGATTGTTGTCTTTTTTACACTTATTGACATGCATGTATGTGCTTGTTGTCTTTGTGACTCTTTCTAATATGACTAACTATATACTTAGATGTTGGGGTGAAATAGACACGTACCGGTTGAAAGATATGAAAGATATAGTATGCTCAAGAGTCATATTTAAAGTGATATTACTAAATAACATATAATACTAATGGGTCACACTAACAACAATTTGATACAATTGATTATTTATTAGAAATTGATTGTAATAAATACTCAATAAAACTCTTATAATTAAATTGGAAATTATTTATTTCATGGAAATAATAAATTCCATTAGCAAGTAACTTAATATAATCATATGGTATAATTTATAAGTCATGTACAAACTTTTGGACTAGTTGAATCATTTTGTCTTTTTTCCTAAAAGACAAGGTTTATATTTTATAAAAGAGTTTATAAAAGTTTGACTTTCTTTCTTCTTTTTTATGCAATTTTAGAGATATACATAAAAAGAAGAAGTGTATGACTTGTCTAATCATGCTTTAAAAGCATGGGAGACATGTTTATGAAAATGGGGACAAGTTTGCTTAAAGTGCTAAGGACTAATGGTTAATAACTTCACTTTATGCATATAAATAAGAGAGCTTGCACTTGGATTATTTACTCATTTTCATTCCTTGATGCAAAATCTGACTCCTCTCTTCCCTCTCCCTTTCTCTCTAGTTTTGGTTAGAAAACTTGAAGAACACTTGCATCTTCAAGCCCTCTTTAAGATCATATTGGTTATGAACTTAAAACTTAAGGGTTTAAGAGTTTTGGACTAGCATCTACATCAAGTTGAGTCATTGTTGGTGTCTCAAAGGTTCCACATTCTTCATCAACTTCCAAGCCTCCTGAGAGGACCCAAAGAACTACAAAGGTTGTTATTTCTTCACCTCTTCTTTGGTTGGTGTTTTAATCTTTCTATAACTTGCAAGAAGATCCTTGGTGGGTATAAAATGTGTATGTTATTTCGAAAATTAAAGTCAAGTTGCCATATTTTTAAAGTTTATGAAACTATTTTTGAACTAAAACCAAACAATTGGTATCCGAGATCTTGCAAGTTTGGTTAGATTTTTTTTATTTTTTGAAATCTTAGTTTTTAGAGAATATGTTTAACTTGTTTTTGTATAAAAATAAGTTCATACATATTTTCTATGACAACTTTATAATTGTTATTTTTTATATGACAAAATTTTCATGCATCTTTTATCATCTAAAGTTGTCTTAGAAAAACAAAGGTTGTTTGATGTGTATATTGAAGTATATGATGTGTATAAACTAGCCAAGGACCAATGTGTTGTTATGTTGTTGTGTTGGTTATTTTTGTTATAAAATGGTTTTAATAATTTATTTATTCATAGAGTATGTAATAAATTAAATAGATTAGCTTTTCTTGGTTGTTTTTGTAAAGTAATAGATTGATTTTTAAAATTAATTTATTTGTACAAAAATGTAACAAGAAATCAAGTTGGAACCATTTTTGGAAGACAAAAGAGCAATTTTCAAGTCTAAAATGTGTGCAGGATTTTCAGTGACATTTTCTAAAAAGTGTCACTAATGTTGTTCACAGAGGGTTGTTGTCTTTTAGCGACAGTTGTTGAATGTTAGCCTTGAAGAAGTTTTTCCAATCTTTTGCAAGCAATGGGTGATTACTTAAGTGGGAGCTTCTTAAACAACATTACAAGAAGATTTTTCGTCCCCTTAAATGTCCCTTTAGGAATGGAATTGGCATTTTTGTGGTGGCTCATAAAAATGTCATTAGTTGGTTATGTTTATGCACATATCTTTTTATGCATGTTTGTATTGTTTATTTTATACAATTATTATGTGTGGTTGATAAATTATTTTTTCACATGCTAAAATTTTTTTGGATAAAATAAACATCACATGGAGTTTTGGTTATCAAAATTGGACATAAGATATAACAAGTTATTATTTTAAAATAAAACCCGGTTTTATAAAAGTGTTAATAATAGCAAATTTTGAAATACTCCATTATAAGTTTTAAAATGGTGATTTTTATAACTTATGAAAACTCTAAATATATAAGTAATAACAGGAAGTTTTATTAAAGATATAAAAGGTACAAATGCACTTAAACTTAATACCGGTTATTAAAATTGAATTGCATCTAATTATATAAAACTAGTTTTTTATATAGAACCTTTAAAAGGTGATTTTCTTTTGAAAATTGATATCATGGTTTATTATATGCATGTAATAACCATGATATCATATGTTTTTAAACTAGAACTACAAAATATATAAAAACCCTTTTTACAAACCTCAAATCTATGCAATCCTATTCAAGAACACTCGCACATCTCTTTTATGCACTAGTGGGATAAAGGATACATAATCGATTAGTGTTATGTTTTGATGGTCAGTGTAACACCCATAAACTTCAGGCCAATTTGAACTTTTTAAAACATTTAAAAACCATTAAGTTATTACAATTTGTTTTCAAAATAGTTTAAGCATTAGAGTATCCCCAGAATCAATCATAAAAATATGAGGAGGTGCACGATCGCACCTTCGCCTTCCCACGATCATCAGAAATACCTGAAATAAAATCAACAACTGTAAGCCTGAAGCTTAGTGAGTTTCCCCAAAATACCAACGCCATACAAATATAGCCATATCATATGACAAATACAAAACAGCATGCATAATGAGCCTTCAGCCTGACTGGACCGCCTGGCAGGGCCTACAGCCTATTTGGACTGCTCTCGAGCCTTCGGCATGACTGGACCGCCTCTCAGGGCCTACAGCCTATCTGGACTGCTCACCGGGTATGTTGGCCTACAGTACAAAGCAGGACCACCTCAACCCAACCCCCAATCAAACAAACATGTACACATAAATATCATATGCTAGCACATATCATAAAACAGTCAAACCGATCTAATAGATCACTCATCATTGCAACATCCCAATAACCGGGATACAGACCTAACCGGTCACTAACATAGCATCATCCTATAACCAGGACAATCATGTGCACATAGATATCATATAACACTAGCATGTATGTATATAACATTCAAACCGATCTAACAGATCACAAAGCATAGCAACAATCCATAACCAAGATATCGGCCTAACAGGTTACTATCATAGCCTCATCCTATATACCAGGATACCGACCCAACCGGGTAACTAAAGCATAGCATATCATCATCCTAACTACCAAGATCTAAATCAGTAAGCATAACATGCAATAATCCGAATACAATCTATAAAGGGTCAGCCTTGGTGCCTTAGACCCTGTTGATATAGTGAGGATAACTCACCTGGCACTACTAAAGTCCTACCGATAAAACTCCAGCTGCTGGTTGACAAATTCCCGAACTATCAACATCAAACAACACCCAATTAATAATTGGGTTCCAATCCCAAAGTCCAACTCACACACTTAAGGCTCAATAGTCAAGTAATGGGCCAAAGCCCAACATATTGCCCAATTTTCCAAATTGGGCCCAGACCTCTACATGGTCATAATTAAAGGCCCAACTACCTAGTCCAGCCCAAACATTTGGCATTTCCAATGGCCCAATATCATAATCATCAAGGCCCAAACTATGGCCCATCCACGACCCAATTTTCCAAACTGGGCCCACACCTTCATATGGGCCTGACCCTAAGCCTATCAACATATTCTAGTCCTTATGATTATTCTTGTATGGCCCATTAATAATCCAATTACCAAATCCCAATAGAAACGCCCAAATAATGGCCCAAGTGAAATTAGGGTTTCATATAAAGTGACAATTAGGGTTAAGTGTTTCTCACTTAACCCATTAAGGATTAGTCCATTAAGTCCCTTACTTTACTAAATAAGTCATATGTTGTGATTGGACTTAATACATGATTCCATTCCAATGGCCCAAATGTGGGTCTCGATAAGTCCAAGCCCATAATCCCAAAATTAGGGTTTTCACATGAAATAATGATTAGGGTTAAGTGTTTCTTACTTAACCCATTAAGGACTTAAACCATTAAGGACTTAATCCATTAAGTCCATTATTGCCTTAAGTTAGTTTTCCAATGATTATTATTTAATATTTCAAGTTTATTAAATAATTCCCATGTGTGTGTCCCGATCAATTTCCACAAGTTAGGGTTTTATAACCTTAGGGTTTTTCCAACCCAATACTAGTTCATCAGTCCATTGGTTGGGCTTTTAGGTGACATTTGGGCCTTATTGGCCCATTAGGGTTCTATTGGGCCCACTAGGTTTCTTTGGGCCCGTTAGGGTTTCATTGTTCTGATATTGTCCAAACATCCCCCAAACGAGGTCCAACCACAATCAAAGCACACCGCCACCCGACACAGCGGCCAATGGCGGCAACCACCAGTTCTACAAAACAATCTCAATAACACACACATACACTAAGCTACACATACTAATAAAACGTACACACACATCCTTTGCTCAGAACACAAAACCAACACCCACCTATGGTGGGCGGCGACGGCAGTAGCACAAGAAACGGCGACAGCAGCTTCGTTAACAGTGGCAGCCACCATGGCCGACTGCCATGGTGGTCCTTCACGTCTTTTACTCAACAAAACCCTCCCCCACACACCATCGCATAACAAGCCACGAACCCGACAACCATGTCATGGCGGCATACGGCAGACGCATGGCATCAGTGATGTTAAGAGACCTCCGGACGGCAGCGGTGACGTAGTCACGTGGAGAGAAATTAGGAGAGGAGGAGGTTTTTCGTCTTCAGTAGCAACGGAAGCAATGACCGCATCAGTTTCGTGATTCCCAGCTTCCACAGCGGAGGGGTGGTGGTCCGGTGACATCGCTGCAACAGAAGAACGGGGAGAAGAAGGGGTTTTGACCCCGACTTTGAGAACACCGGCGACAATCGAAAAATTAATCATTGATTCGACGTCACTCGTGGCGTTTCGTCACTGATAGGAGTTGTGTTGATGATTTGCTTTGCTTGGACGACACTGATGATGAGAGACGGCATAAAGGGGTGCGGCGCCGGAGTTGGAGAAGGAAGGTGGTGGCGGTTGCCATCTCTACTAGGGTTAGGGTTTGAGTGCATGAGAGTTCGGATGAATATATATGGGCTAACGGGAATAATGGGTTCACCCGTGTCCATCCCCAACCATTTGAATATTTTACACATTTAGTCCCTCTCCATAAGAACTCTTTTCAAATTAAGTCCCCAAAATTATCATGCAACCTCTACTTTTACAAAATCATTTCAATCTAAGCCAGACATTTACCAATCAACCCCTGTCTTCAAAAATCCTTACAAAATAAGTCCCGAAATTACACTTTAACCCTTGGAGATCAAAAGTATATCATTTGGTACCCCAAACCCAACACCCCACTAATCAATATTTAATTTTGGACAATAAATATATAAAATAATAATAATAATACCTCTCGGGGTTCTGGGTTTATCACTAATTATCTTGTTTTAAACGGGATGTTACAGTCGGGGTGTATTCACGATTTCTATAACCAATTATTGGCCGATTACACAAGTTTTTCAAATTGGACGATTTGATCGGAAATCTTTTCTGATAAAGGATACCTAAGCAAGAGAGTTCTGAGGCATAGATGGGATCAAACATGTCTAATTAAATTTGTTATTACCGATCCTATAAATCTAGGAATTATATAGCAAGATATAATTGATAATCGATATCTACAGGTTAAATTCAAATGGATGGGATAAAGGATACCTAACCATTTAATTTTTTTGAAACTTGGATCCTAGACTTTGATAATTAATGTTTTTGTAAACTAAAAGGGTATTAATTATCAAATATTAAATATTGAAAATACTAAATGAATTTTGTTAAAAATTTTGTAGTTAAGTAATCCATTCTCATTATCATGTATTGTAATTTTCTTTAATGACTTAATGAAACAATAACATTCAATAGATACAACTTCAATGAATGGGTTCATGTCTTAAGAGACACTCTCGTTAGATATATGGAATTGTATACACTTAAAGGTCCTAGTCCTAAACTATTTGCTTTGAGCAATTAAACTTGAATATGATACCTAGTAAAGGAATCATTGTGATGCTTAAGATGTTTCTAACATCAAGCTAGGAATAGTTATTTATGACTTCTAAGAAGTCTTGGATGATTGAAAACATGTATATGATGATATAACATGTCAAGTAACATTCCAATAAATACAGTGATATTTTATTTAAAGCTAGTTTAAACATTGGAATAATGCAAGGCTAAAAGAATCACCTTGTGTCATCCGGGAGGCCCATGTTTTATGGACTAAACACCTTTAAGCCCAAGAAATCTACTAAAGCCCACATAGATGGATCTTGTTTCTTTTGTGAAGAAACTGGACATTGGAAGAGGATTTACTCCTCTCATTTGGAAAGAAAGTCTGGAAGAGACTAGTACTTCTAGTATCTACTAAATAGAACTCATACTTTTCATATAAAACTTAGGTACTTGGTACTTAAATGTTAATCTAATATTTGTAAATGGCTTGTAGATATTTACTAAAGAGTACCATCTGAGCACAATCAAGTTGGAACTACACTCTCAGAGTTTAGTTTATTATTTATGTTTTGAACATAAATTACTCGTAATGTAAAACAATATTTGTTTTGGAACAAAGTATGCTTTAATTTATCATGTCTAAATTTATGTCTCAGTTATTTTATTCAAATGTTTGATCATTTACTTAATCATTTTTCATAACGATAATATTCATATTCTAAAATGATTAACTTCTATTTATGAGACTGGATCTCTTAATAGAGTTGTGAAGTAAATATCAACATTTCATAAATAAAATTAAGTTATATATGAAAAAAACTTTTGAATTAAACTTTTTTAAATCAAACTCATCTTTGACATTGTTATCTTTATCATATAAATGGCATTCACATATTCCAACTTCAAGAAATGGATCTTTGAAGGCAAATAATGTAGTTTATTTGACATATGTGAACCTTATTTATATGTAAAGGATTCTTAATGATATTTTCACTAAAGTGTAGAGAAAATAATTAAGGAACTATACACTTTGGTGTATGACTTCCTTTATAATGCATGTCTGAGATTGAGCACAAGATACCAAATTAACTTTGTTAACAACTATAGTAGTTTTAATTATAATTTATGTGGTAAAACATAATTGTGAAATCTTTGTTGAAGGTTTCAAAAGTTGAGATACAAACCGGTAAGAGCCATCTAAGGCCTTAATGATAATAAATGATGAATTAAATCTTACTTGGTATGATTTACTTTCTAATCGGTACAAATATCATCCTTTAATATTTTTTGGGATAATACTTCAGTCACTATTAATTCTATTCTTGAACACAAATACCAATTAATAAGTATACTAAACACTCTATAAGATTTAATATGGAAGGGCTGCATCATCATCTTACTTAATGTTTTGTGGATTTAAAGTCGGTGTTGGACTAAAGCTTCTAAACCCAAAAATCTACTAAATACATATTTGTGTGGTACTCTAAATGTGACTTAGATTATCATATGCAAACCCACAAAGAATAAGTTCTCTTATTCTTTTGAAAGCTAAGTTAGTAGAAATAAAGCTTCTAATGGCAAAGCAAGTGGGAGGTACATGCAACGTGAAGCAGCTCAAGAACCATAACCTTATGTAGTACTAGTTGGCACTAGTTTTAATAAGGATTGTTAAAATTAAATAATAGTTATTCATAAACACAGATTGTTCGCATTAATGGTAGAATTCATCTATCACTAGAGAAATGTGGAATCTCTCATTGATGATATTTTATTGATGCTTTCTGGAAAATCCATCAAATACCAAGATGCTATGTTAGATCTCGAATCTGATAAATGACTTAGAGTCATGGACATGAGATGCAATCCATGTATGATAACAAGAATTGTGACAACCCAAAATTTCCATTCTGAACAAACCATTTGAAGCCAATAGAAGTAGAACAGTTACAGTGGAAACTCAGATTTCGAGTATAAGTTTGGCAATTTTCAGGATTTTACACTTAAGGAGATATTAGGAGAGTGGATGCACTAGGGTTTTGTGCAACACTGTTATTCCAATACTCTAGAACATTAGAATTCGTTTCAGGAATAAAAATATTTTCTGCCAAAAATATCTCAGGACTATAAATAGAATTCTGAACCAAATTGGTTCATTAGTTGAATTCCATTTAGAGAAAAGTCAAAATTCTCTCTCACGGATCTTCGGGTTTTTATCCCAAATTGTGAGTAACTCTTTCTAGTAGTGTTAGAAAGCTTTAAATGTGTTCATAACATAGATTACATAGCTAAATCATTCGATTTAGGAGTTTACTCCCCAAGGTGTTCTTGGGCGGTAAACTCCCGAAACCAAGCCTAGATTGTCCCCCGTGATATACTACTGCCTTGGACTTGTATAGGAGTGTATTAGGGACATGAAATCAAGCAAGAATCACCCAAGTTTGGGAGTTCACGGCCCAAGAGTATCTTAGGCCGTAAACTCCAAAAAGCATGCTCAAAATGGTGCTTTTAAGGCACCTAAGGCTTAAACTTGATTTTAGACATGTACCCTAAAGTGTTTAAAGCCTAGAAAACATAAGGAATCACAAGTATTAAGGAGTTTACAGCCAAGACAACTTCTTGGGTCGTAAACCCCTATAAAGGGGTCAAATGACACCCTAACTCCTTCCTTATGCCTAGAACCCAACATAGATCATAACCTTGAAATGTTAGAGACTTGAAAACACCATAAACACCCTCCCAAGGGAGTTTACGGCCGTAAACGCCTAGGGAATATGGTCCCAGGGCCGTAAACCCCTATAAAGGGGGCAAATGTCACCCAAACACTTGATTTAGCCTTGAAACAATTCACCACTAGAGTTGTATTAATTCTAAGCTTCATTTAGAGACCTTATTGAGAGTTTACGGCCAGGAGTTTACTCCCCTGGGCCGTAAACTCCAAAACATATGGTCATTAGACCTTAAACTCCCATTAGAGGCCTTGCACTCCTTTGTTGCAACCCATTAGCCTCCTAGCACTTGACCAAAAGTGTTTTCCTCGCGTTTAAATGTTTATACTTGTATAATTAGTGTTTTAATCACTAATTATTTATATACATATGTCTTCATATGTAATTAGGATCATTGTGTGTGTCTAAAGTCTTCACTTGACACCAAGCACTTGTCCGATCCTTCCTTACGATAACAGTCCGTTCAATTCCAGTCACTTACTGCAGGTGAGTTCATACCCCTTAAATAATGTTTTAAACTATTTTTAAATGTTTTATGGGGGGATACAAGTAGAATCATGCTAGTTGTTATATCAATCACATGTGATTAATAAGTAGAATTATGCTAGTTATTATATCAATCACATGTGATTAATATGCAGCATTCAAATGATTTACTACACATTAGCCGTTTTACCAAACAGTTTCCTTCAAATGATTTTTATAAACATTTTATATGTTTTAAACTCCTTATTACACTGTACATTTTACTCTGTATATTACATTTCAAACTTATTTACAATTGTGTTTCAAACAAATGTTTCTTTATACTAAACTGTTTTATCAAACCCATGCCTTCAAATTGTTTTATAGATTGACATCAAGTCGATCTTTTCTTAAAATAATAATTATGTTTCAAATGTCTTACAAAACTTATTTATGCTTTTATATTATAAATTGCATGCCTCTATATGTATAGTTATATAAGAAATGTTTAAAAGACTTAGGAAGGCTATCCACCCTATTTCCTTTTCGCGCTTGAGATGTGGTCTGGTGGGATATCGGGTACTCGTCCGAAGGTCGTTTAAATATTAGTTATATAACATATGTACATATATAGTCATAAAGTCCCTTCCAGTTCATCCCATGCCCTTGGGTAGCAAGGGTATACATCCATGTCTA